TACAGTCCACTGGCCCGTCTGCGTTTGTGCCTCCTGGGGTACCCGTGAGGGTAGGAAGAGGAAGAAGATGTTCATCACACAGCACTTGTTTTGAAGCGTCCCTCGACGGTAAGCTTACCATGCCAGCTGAAGCAGCGTTAGTCGGCATGCCTAAGTTACATGAACCAACAAACAAACAATAAGCTTGAATAAAGACGGCAAATATAGTAAAACATCAAATAAACAAGTGATTTCCGTCTAATCCAGGGAGACTAATCGAATTTTTCATTATTATCAGATCTAGCAGATCTGCTCTATAGAATGACACTATGGAAGTTCTATTTTGAAAAAAAAATTAACGAATTAAATCTCAAACCTTGGGTAGCCGTTGATTTGGATTTGGACACGTCCTTTGCTTGACGATCTCAAACGCCTCGTTCACTTTACGTAGTCGCCGTCTCTCACGCATTGTCGCAGCCTTTCGACGATCCACTGAAAAATCGGGCATATTTTAAAGTAAAAAATTATGCGAAATAAAATTCCGAAAAAAGAAGTTTTTCTCACTTTACAATACAATCCTTACTTCGGGAAGTGAGCGATGGTTATTTCTGCAGAGAAAAATGAGACAGAGAAGGAATCATGCCTCCAATCTCCCTTCAGCAACTCACCAAGCTTATTGATAAAAAGATTCAGTCTGTTTTTACAGTACGCAGTTTTCTCGTCTCACTATAACCATTTTTCTCTTCAAAATGACCCCGGTAAAAATTTTTTTACCAAACCACCTACACGCTCCCTTCAATCTAAACAGGAACGGCGCCTCTACCGTTACGCCAAATGCGCGAATAAATTGCCCTCTGCACTCCTACAGCTACTTTCTCTATGATAACCCCCTAATATAACAAATAAAACATACACTTGCTTCGTCTGGGCGGATTATTCGGATCTGTGGTCTCCATCGCGACTTCATCGGTGGCCAATGTTGAAGAGGCATGTAGCAAGCTGTCTGAAAGAATCCACATCAAGCGCCATCAGAAACCGTTTACCGGAAACTCCAAAAAAGGTAGGTCCTGATTGGAAATTTCCTATGATTGCGGTCAATGAATTGGGGCTACATACACTGGCTACATACACTATGAAGAATCAATTCAGGAATCCCTTCTGCCCTACTGCATTGAAGCATACTCGGGTATCAGGCATCTGGGCAAGCTGACACCATGGGCCATGAGCTATCCTTCCCATGGGGAGGGAGACAAAAACCCCTTCAATTATATTTGTCTTTTCAACCAAAGTTGCCTCAAGAAAGGGTCTCGTTGTAAAGTTAATGGGTAAGCAGAAGTCAAAACATGCTGAAGAGGAGGATAAGTTCTAATGGGTTTTTGTCCTCCTACCGGGGGAAAGGGTATCATGCGGCCCAGCAGACTTCCCAAAGAGATACCCGACCTTAAGTAATCGGAGCCGTGACGGTACTTTCAAGATCTGTTGCATCTGCTATGGGAAGGCTCTCTTTTCGATATACTCACCTTCTTTTTCGATTTTGATACCGGCGGTTTGATCCTTTTGGTCGCTGCCAGTGGAGGTGAACTCGCCAGTACGTGGCACAGAGAATGTAGTCAACTCGGGATAGAACGGCGCCGAAGACGTTGTCTGCCCAGTGTACGACGGGTAGTAAGTGCTGTATCTGAATGTATCATAGCGCTTGCATGTTCACTTCTGTTCAGTTTCTTCTCTTTGGAAAAAAATCGGAGGAAAGGTAGCTCACAAAAGTGAAAATATTGAAAACCTTAGTAGGGTAGGGCGCTACAAAAGTGGACTTCTTTCGGTAAGCTCTTTTTAGGACGTTTGCTTTGTAGCCCTGAAGGGTCTGAAATCGCATCTAAGGTTTGCATACATCCAGAAGTCAGTCACGAAGCGAAGCTACAGTTTCTGTGGTATGTCGTCTGGAATCTGTTCTCTAGGACCCAACCTCAAATCTTGTTCGGTAGGCCTCTTCCCGTTTGCTTGATTACGGTACCCCAAACTTTCCCTATATGTTCAAGGGTTTTCTGTCTTTGGTTATTCCTTTACCCCCTCTTATCTATTCCCAATCGATCCAAAATATTATACTTACCTACCCATAAGTTAGCGGACCGAAGTTTAAAGGGCTCAATGACCCAACCCAGGCCTCACTCTTCCTGTTTTACGTCATGAGTGAGTCTTAGGTAATAAACCTAGTATTCCCTAAATATGCACAGTAATAAACAACGCCCTGAAAACTGGTTAGACTATAACCAAGGCCAACGGAACCATATCATCTGATCATCCTAATTCTTCGCCGCCGTAACGCCGCAGAGGGTTTAACAATGGTCTGGTGACTCGTCTGGTAGACAGTAATAAATCATCGGATCCTCACTTATCAATAACTTCGCGATGCAGTTATTTATCACTCACGACCGAGCGAGCGACTTCTTCCAACAAGCCAAGCAGCAGCAGCTGCTGCTGCTGTTTCGGTCGTTTTCAGTCACATCGATCAACTCAGTTGTCAGCGAACGAGTTACCGTATGACGGCGCGTAACGAGAAAACAAAAAACTGTGAGCTTTGCTTAAAAACCGCTGCTTCGTGAGATCTCGGCGAAGGTTTCGTAACATCGATTTTTGTATGATGAAAGATAGGAGAGGTAAGAAAATCGATAACCAGCGGCTTCGTTTATGGATGCTGCGTCTGCTCATAGTCAAAAAAACAGCAGCCGTGAATGGGGCTGTGGGACAGAGGAAATTGATCTCGATGTTCTTGGTCCTACCAGACAGGTCTTGTCAGAGTGGAGCGGCTCCGAAGGAAGGCGAACCTTCGCTGCCGCAAGTCAAACCAATCCAGAGGGAAATGAAGTCAGGTTACTCACGCTGTCACTACACTTAATGCGCTCTACTTACCTTCGTGTACTTCATAAGCACAAGATCAGATTCTTCTGCATTGTGCGCCTATCTTTCCTGTACCAGGTAGGTTTCACAACGATTGCAGGCAAACCCTATCGATTCCAAATTTAACGTTTTCCTCGCTGAGCATCCACTAAGCCCACGGAGATCCGTAAGCATTCTTAACTCAGAATATATGAATGACATTGACGGCTTTCAATGGGAGTCATTCAAGACAAGAAAAGAATGGATTGCATGGGATGTTGTCGCCTTGTTGCAGACTTTGAATACGCGTTTTTCGGGGATCCAGAGAAACATTCGCTGCCTTGAGGAATCACACTTCCCTCATGTTGTTTATGTAGGCTGCTTTAAACTCCGAATACCTGATAACCATTCCTACACCTTCAAGGGAAGGAACAGTACAGCACTGATGCTGTCCTACTATGGAGGTGTTCACTATTGAAGACAGTGTTTAGTCGTAGAATACAACTAGGCAGGTGAGAGTGTTCGGGGAAGGGGCATAGACGTGCATAGTCAATTCTAGACAGCCAATTGTGGTTCATGCGGGCAGCACGGACTACAAGCTCATTGCGCCTGTGAAATACATTCGCTCTCGGTACGAAGCGGAAGATTCGCGCGGTTGCCAATAAACCGAGCCTCTGAAGCTCTGAGACCTTACTGAATTCTCTCATCTTCCGAGTTCGACTCAGAAGACAGCTGATACGAAATTGGCGGAGTCGACATAGCGTAATATGCTGTAAATAACGGCAATGTCTGAAGCGATGCGTGATCAGGTACGCTTTGCTGCGAGCGGTGCGCCCGTAGGGGTCTAAAAAGGCCTTAACGCGGCGGAGAAATCCCTTTACGGCTCTCCACGCCCACCGACTGGCTACCCCATCTGCTGGTCATGGCAAAAGCTCGCTTTGAAGGACAATAACCATGCCTTTAGCTCAGCAGGTCCTACTAGTCGCATGGTTGATGGCACCAGAATTCACAGTAATTCTCAATGGATGCCGAATGCGCGGCGTCCAGCCCACCTCGGGGACCACGCCTAATGCTGATGCTGTTACGGAAAAGAAGAAGGATACTTCTTGGTCTGCAAAGTTCCATGGTTTATACTTATTCTCCGGATGCGCGCCTGGTTGACCATAGCGCTTCTATTCAACCCTCGAATCACATCGCGATATCTCGTTGGAATTTTGCCAACGAGAACAACAGGTGAAAATTTCGCGTTTATGTGTTGTGTGAAAAAATATAATGGTTAACACTTGGTTGGTCATTTGTCGCGAGAGTGTGCCGTTAGACGAAGTCAGCTGCGGTGGCACATGTAGCGCAACTGGTGCGAGCAGAGAGTGTGGAGCACTGGCGCGAACCCCAAATCAGGTTCTAATGTCCGAGCCCCTGCTTCAGCCAGCCGCATGTCAGGTTCGTACTGGTCCGGGCGCTGTTCAACGTCTACAAGGTCCAGTCCCAGGCGACGGCATCACTGACTTCTGTTTCCCGTTCGGCAACGTCGGGCGGTCGCCTTTTTCTGATTTCCAGCCCCAGCCGGCTGCTCCACCACTGGAACGTGCCATCTCACTTCTCTGCACCTATTTTCCTTTCCACCTCATTCTCTCCGAAAATTTCCTATTCAAAAATGATCATATCGTTGTTTTTAACATCACCACCCCCACAAGGGCCTTTTTAGCCCTCCAGCTGGCCCTACAAGCGCTCACATTCCATCTCCGTTTGCGATTATGTCATTGTCTGTTTAGTTTTCAAAGCTCCAGACGTCGCCAATCGATACATGTAATTCCTCGCCTAAGTGGCTTAACGTAAACATCGAACTGCTGACAAATTTTCGTAGGCAAAATTTAAAAATTTCCGGAAGAACCCGTCGGGGCATACCTGTAGAGATCGTAGCCGACAGCGTAGTCCGTGGTGGGTTGTGGAGCAGCGAACGGGGTCAAAGTGGTGATTTCGGTGGAACCCGTCGTAGAAAGTACCCGTGATCCTTGAGCCGTATAGCCGCCATAGAGCGGATCATACTGACAATTCTGATCATTCATATGGTAACCTGAAACGAAAAATCAATAAAATCGATAAACGGGCTCACTTACTCAGCGCTAAAACGAACACAATGGCATGAGAACCCAAAAATAGCCCGAACTCGGGTTTTGTGGCGCTAACATGAAATTTCGAATGATGTAGTTCGAATAAAATTGGCCGACATATGACGGGCCTGCTATAACCTATTCCTAAAACGTTTAGTTTTTCTGTAGGAGGAAATGGGACCAGGTTTTTGGGGGCGACAGTTGGACGGCAGGCGCGCCCGCAGGCAACCGGCAAATGAGCAACTGTCTTAGCAGCCCCCAGCACCTTACACTCACTTCGAGCCCCTCCGCCGCCATCACTCGCCACCCTCCTCCCGACCAACGCTATTTCCATCACTCAGGCGACGTCGGGGTTACGGTATCGAGGTGCCGCCAGAAAGGAGGCGGAGGAGGAGCATAACTCGGTAGAATATGAGCTGCGCTATGGATTATGACAACATTGCTAGACATACGAATGAAGGCGATCGTATGGAACTCCTGGATTTCGGTGATTCCAGTGAGCTATCGATCGAGTGATTATCGATATTGATTTGTCGCCGTAAAACCTGGGGAGAGAACTTGTCCACATGACACGGCCGCAATATCGAGAGAAAGTAGTTCTCCTTTTGAGGTCTGGTCAAAAATGCCATTGTCAGGCTTTTAAACCCCTCCGTGGTGCTGTTGCCCTGCAGGGGAACCATTTTCGATCAAAAAATGCCGTTGTTTGGTGTCGTTGTTTCCTCATAATATGGTATACATATACTTCCTTTTAGTCTGATACTCAAGGAAAAACGATTTTCTGCTTCTTTTCAGCCTCGATAGACCCTTTTTAACATCGTCCAGGAGACCTGGGAGCTTCTCCAGTTTTACTAGCCTGCGTTACAGTCCTTCCTTTATGATAGCGCTAAATATTTCGGCTCTTCTGGTTTGATATTTATACGAGATATGAACCCTTTCATTC